CTTTCTTTCAACCCATAAGAAAAAAAAAAGAAAGAAGCAGCAATATAACAACTAGCCTATTGCATTACAAAAGTTGTATCTGTCACTCACCAATTTTTTCATTCAACAGCATAATTTTCTCTTGGGTAAGTTGCATTTCGTATTTTTTCTTAACAAGGCTTTGCTGAGTCTCTGAAAGTCTCTCTTCTGTCTTTTCATTCAATAAACTGGAAAAACAGAAATATTAAACAGGAGAATTCAGATGTTTTTATATTTTTTTTTCCTTTTTGAAACGTCACTAAAATTGCAAAAGTTAGGAACAAGCTTCTGTATATTTTAGACTATTTGTGATATTTTATTAATGTTAACCTTAATCTCTGAATAATCCTCCAAAGAATCACCAAAAAGTAAGAAGAATTCTTTACAATATGTGGGCATAAAAATTTCTCAAAAATTATTAAAATAAAAATCATCAGTTGGGACACACATTGGAATGCCTGACCTATTTGAAATTATACCCAAGTCATACATTCAAATCATGTAGTAATATTAATGATTCTCAAACTGTTGAAGAGAACCATCAGCCTGGTTTGCAGGGGGAAAGAAAAAGATATTTTAGTAGCAGCAGCTAATCTTCAACAACTCAATTTCCACAGTATTCATAAATCTGACAACTTATTATAAAGCAGCAATAACTCAGGACTGGATTTGCAAAGGATTTAATGTTATTTTAGAAATCACAGTATCCTTAGAAAGGTATTGTGGGCTAACACAATATTGCATGCTAGCACCCAGCATTCCCACCAATCAAAATCCAACAAAAAACTACAACACCTATGTGTTGACTACACCAGTCCTTTGTAAGGACACATAGGTTTAGGAGAGTGTTTGCCTAACTGAATTATATTTAAGGAATATAAGAGGAAAAAGTTGCAGTATCTTCTCTTGCAGTTTGTTCACTCTGCAGCCTAGTTCAGTCTATGGTCTAATCCATCGTATCGCTCCACACAAACTTCACATGTGATTGATCTTTCCCTCCAGTCAGTAAAATTATCCATTTTTATCTTGCACTAACTGACCTGTGCTTTCTTCCCTAAAGGCTTTGATTGAATCTAGTCCCACTACATGCTTCTGAACATGGTTAAGAACTCCAGTTGAGCAGCAGGCCATAAACGCTATGCAAGGCTTCAGGTTTATTTTCTCTTATGACAAAGCTCCAAGACTAAGAAAAGGATGTTTGAAACTAACTACACATGACACTCATTAGTTTATGCGTGTTTGCTTGCCTCTATAAAAACAATAAACAATGAAAAATAATTTTAATTGATATGCAATTTACAAAAAAAAAAAAATCAATCCCTGCAGCCTCTAATAGAAAGCTCCTAAGTCTAAGTCAGAATGAATTTTACTTTTTCACTGAAGATGGTTTCCAGCGTATCATAATATCATCAAGCCAAGAACATTTACATATAAATAAGCAACAAGGAAAACAACTTCATTCCAAAAAGAAGCATGGCTTATAAGACCAACTATCAGTAAATTCCTTCCTTTTGAGCTATATAAAAGTTATGAAAACCAATGAGCATAGGCTGACATTACTCATCAAACTAAGGCAATGTCCTGGTTTTAGCTGGGATACAGTTGTTTTTTCTTCCAATGGCTGGTATAGTGATGTTTTTTGGATTTTAACCCCACTTGCTAGCTGGGGCTAAACCACAACAGGCAATTATATACTTTTTCTTACCTAAGTGAAACATATTCAGCTTCCTGTCGGCTCAGCTCAGTTTCAGAGTCCAGTGCTCTTCTTGCCAATCTTTTCATCTCAGTTTCCAGAGAATCAATGGTGTCTTTCATTAGTGCCACTTTGGACTTCTGGTCTAGCCGTTCACTACCTAACTATGAATATAATTAAACATTAAAAGCCATAAAAAAACCTGATTTATATATAGAATTTATCCTAATAATTCAAATTCTACTCTGTTTTTAGCAAAAATATTTTACTGAAGAAGAAATGTCCGAGTATCTCATTTACTCAGGACCTGAATCCAAGGCTACTGAAGGTACTTGGCAAAGAGCTGAAATGTGATTTTCACTTCCTTTGAAGGACAATCAATTTCCTGTCTTTCAGATCTCTAGGAATATTTAAATTTATTAATGTAAATTTTAGGTTGGTAATTATGCCCAAGTGCAAAAATGTTTGGCATTGATCAACACTAAAAGTTTTCAGTGCAAAATAACATTATTATGGGTGTATGAAGGGAGAAATCCCAGTTCAGGATATAACACTAACAGTGATGGCTTTAGGCCTCTACTAAGTTATATGGCTACGCTGATAAATGGATGGAGAAATCACTGTAAAACACTTGCATAAAGCACTTCTATGACCAAGTTACCACCATGAGGCCCTTAGGTCTGTACCTAGAACAAAGAACAGGTTCAAAACATCTTGCACAGACTCCGGCAAAGCTAGTTTGAAATCTCCAGTTTAAAGAAGGATGAGTTTCTTTATTAAAATACTTACGCTTAACATTCAAATAACTGTCCTTTCTAAATTATTTGAAACAGCTCTTTTAAGGTAAAAAATTCTCACTTCATCCCTCTCCTCATTTACTGATTCTTTCAGTACTAATTTCTTTGTTACTATAATCAAAGGTCAGACCTCTAAAGAGCAAGTCAGTAAGCCTCTGGTACGCAGTAACTTTTTTAGTACTAGTGCCAGAAATTTCGTATTGATGTATCGCCCTCAAAAGGGTACCAAATGAACTGAAGAAATAAGACCATGTACATAAAACAGGACATATTCACTACACCTCATATGCCAAGCATGTGATTAAAGCTAATTTACTACTCAGAGTACTTAGAGCTATTTAAGCCTACAGTGTATTGTTCATCACAAATGCACTCAGTTTAATATTATGATCCTTGGAACTATACTTATAAGCTTGGTAGGATTTAAAAGGCTGAGGGGGAAAAAGAAAATTAACCAGAATTTATAACCACAAGATCTAGAAAAAAGACACACTACAGAAATCAATGTTAATCTATTTAAAAATCAAGTTCTACCAAGATTGTAAATACATTTAAGATTTATATTAATTGTATTAATGTTTTCATTTTCTATTTTAGTGCCATATGTTAGCAAAACAGATGCACACACAAGCCACTTAAATAGTCCTATTAAATAGGACTTGCCAGAACAGTACAATTACAGTTGATTTTGGAATATCAGGTCTTAATTGTAAGATAATTCACATTGGAATGGACTCCAGGAGGTCTCTAGTCTAAACTCAAACTCAAAGCAGGGATAGCTCTGAGGTCAGGTTGCTCAGGACTTTGTCCAGTCTGGTCTTGAAAATCTCCAAGGCTGGGGACTGCTTGACTGTCCTCACAGGAAAGAAGTATTTCCCTGTCTTCAGCCTGAACCCTTCTCATTTCAACTGATACCCACTGTTGCTCATCCTTCCACCATGCACTGCTGTGAAAAGCCTGCTTCTGACTTCTTGATGAGTACCGGCAGGCAGGACTTAGGTCCTCCTTAAGCCACCTCTACTCCAGGTGGAACAAGCCCAGTTCCACCAGTCTCCTCTCATAGGGAAAGCGTTCCAGCCCCAAGTATCATGGAAGCACTCCATTAAACTCACTCCAGTTTGGCAATATGTTTCTTATACCGTGGTGGCAAAACTGGATGCGGTGTGTACCAGATGTGGTCTAACAAGTGCTCAGTAAAGGGGGACAGTCACTTCCCTCGAGCTACTGGCTGTGTCCTGTTCACACAGTCTAGGGCACTCTTGGCCACCTTTGCCACCATAGCATACTGCTGGCGCGTGTACAGCTTGCTGTACACCAGGGCCTCCAATGCCTGAGCTTTCAGCAGCGCTGCTCCCAAACCCATTGCTCCCCAACCTGTATTGCTGCCAGTGGCTCTTCTTCCCAAATTCAGAATTTGGCATTCATCGTTGTTGGACTTCACAAGGTTCCTGTTGTCCATTCTTCCTACCTGTCTTGGTCCCTGTGGATGACAGCCCTGCTCTTGAGTATATCAACAGTTTTCCCTAATTTGGTGTCACCTGCAAACTTTATGAGCATGCATTCTGTTGCCTCCTTCAGGTCACTGATAAAGATGTTAAACAGGACAGGCCTCAGAACAACCCCCTGTGGTGCTCCATGTTAACAATCTCCAGGCCAAATTAACTGATAAGAATGACCATCCAATTGAATTTTCCCCATCTAGCTGCCCACCCATCCAGACCATAACATCCTAAGCTGGATACAAGAACATTCTGGATAACAGTGTTAAAAGCCTTGCTATAGTCGTAGTAAGTAACATCCAGGGCTCTCCGCCTATTGTTTCCTGATAGAAAGCAGTCAGGTTGGTCCTGTAGGATTAACCCTGAACATCATCTGTATTACATTTACAATTACATAAATAATTATTTTCCCTTACATTTTGAATAGTAGTTTCTAGCTCTTCAATTCTCTGTTGCAAATGAGCCTTTTCATTAAATGCAGTTTCTTGGGAAATCTGTATCAAACAACAGCAAAATCACATATAGAACAAGTCTAAACTCACCACAGACATGTAATGCAATTAACTCTCAGGATTAGAATAGAAATCCTTACCAACTTTAATTACACTATTAAATAGTTTTCATGTTAAAATAACCTGGGGGAGGGCACAATCAAACCTTTAACTGCTCCCTGAGGCTATCACGTTCTGTAGTCATCCTTCGGAAATCTGACAGTGCTGTATCCCTTTCTATCTCCACACGTCTTAACATAGCTTGAGCTGTCACAGTGCTTTTAGGAGTCCTGGGGCATTTGATAACTTCCTGACGAAGTCGGGAAATCTCTTCCTGTGCCTGTTTTTAAAAACAGCAGCATAACAAAAATATGGAATAGACAATGTAATATAATACTGTAGCATATGGTTGGTAAGGCAGAACGTTCCAGAAACTGTGCAATAACAAAGATGAAGTAATGATTTGTGCATATATTCTTTGATTCAGGAAAGCATTTACGAACTTCTATTTAACTGACAGATTCAAATCACAGAATTCCCATAATTTTTTTTCTATTTTTTAAACAAATGCTTTGCATATTTTTCTTTTTCTACAAAAAAACAAAAATAGGATTTTTTTCTTGCACATCACCTTAAGTTATTTTAATTAATCATACAAATACAAATACAATTACCTGTTTATAAAGATTGTCAATTTTGTCTCTCTCAGCTGTTAAAACTTTGAAGTTACCCTGAATTTCTGCCACATGGCGCTCATATTTTTTCAGTGTTGACTTAAGTTCTTCACATTGTCTCAATATTTTCAAAACTTCTGGATCAGAACTCACTCGCTTAAAGAATAAGGTGATATAAGGTTAAAGCAGAGAAATAAAACTTGGTATGCTTTTTTATTATATCTGGTTTGGAAAAGTCTATAAAAGATTTAATAAGCCTTCAAACTAGTAACCTCCAGACAGTCAAGACTGTACATATATATTTCTTAGAATTAGAGTCCAGGTATACATAATATTTTCTAAAATTTACATTTATTTTGAGTAACAAATGTCTTTCAAAATGGTACTGACAATCATGTTAATAATTACTTAATACAAGCAGTTGTCAATAGTCATTTAAAGTGATATACATGCATGCAGTGTAAAGCAGCAGTTAAGTTCACATTATTTGCTCATTCTCATCTTATGTATCCCTGTTTATATAATGAATTCATTTTTCTTCCTTGTGATTATGGTTTTGGTAACTCAGCATAAGATAAACCAATGTTTTAAAAAACACATTCCTCCTCTTCCAAAGTGTTTTCCAAGCTCACCTGGATGGATGAAAATTTTTTTGACATGCTGCCACAAGTAGAGGTTCGCTTAGGACTTGAAAATGCGTTTCTAAATACCTTGAGGAAATTCTCAGTCTCGCTTTTATAGTAGTCTCTGTCCTCTTCCAAGTCTTTATAAAGGTATCAAGCCTGGAAGGTGATTTCCCTTGCTTTATTTCAGCTTCTGTTTGTAAAATAACCTGTATAGGCAAAAATGAGATAATTCTTTCTTGGTGAAGTAAGGAGGAGGGTCAGCAAAACCACTACCACGGACTTCCAGAGGGCAGACTTCAGCCTGTTCAGGACACTGGTTGAGAGAGTCCCTTGGGAGACAGTCCTAAAGGGCAAAGGGGTCCAGGAAGGCTGGACATTCTTCAAGAAGGAAATCTTAAAGGCGCAGGAGCAGGCGGTCCCCATGTGCCGTAAGAAGAGCTGGCGGGGAAGACGATCGGCCTGGCTGAACAGGGAGATTTTGCTGGGACTCCGGGAAAAAAGGAGAATTTATCACCTCTGGAAGAAGGGGCAGGCGACTCAAGAACAGTACAAGGGTCTCATTAGGTCATACAGAGAGAAAATTAGA